GAAATTATATTTCTCTTTCTTAGCCCTTTGAAAATTGCTTAATTGCTAGTGGATTTCTTTAAAATTCTAACATATGTATACATATATATATTTTTTTCTAACATATATATTTAATTTCTGAAGTTATGCATTTTTTCTGTCCTTCTCTCATCTTGTCTAAAATACAAGAATTTTAGAATGCTTTTTACTATAATTACCTAGTTCCATTTTCAGCTATTTTTTAGCCAGTTTTTTGGTTCCTTTTTATTACTTCTCAAGTGAGTTATGGTTGCTTCATTTAGTCCGAGCTTATTTAGCCTGTTGGCCTCTTTCCTTTCTTTGCTAATCTGGAGCCTTTCTTCTGGGTTCCACCTTCTTCTTTTTGGAGACTTCCTTTAGAATTTCCTCTACCGAGGACCTGTTGGTAAGTTCACTTAGCTTCTATTTCCCCGTAGGTACCTTCGTTTTCCGTCATTCTCAAGGGATGATTTCACCAGTTGTACAGTCCTACTTTGACGATGATTTTTATTTAGAGTTTTGAAACTAATATCACGTCATGTTCTGGCTGATGCCACTGTACATCATCTGCCCGCCTCACACCGTGGGGAAGTCCCCTCCCTGTTGCCGTCCACAGTGTCCCTCCGGCTTTGGGATCTTGCTTTCGACCGCATCTGGAGTCTCAGGACTCTCCCTGGCCCTGGGCAGGTGGATTCTCCTTTGCTTTCTGCATTTTCTTATTTTGTGCAGAACCTGCCAGATGCACGTGTGCTGCTCCCTCTGATCCTAGCCACTGCCTCTCACCTTCCCATCGCCCCCCAGTCGCTGTCTGTGGCTCGCCCTGCGCATTTTTGGCTGTACCTCCAGCCCACTCACCCCACCCCACCAGATCACTTGTGCTTTACTCATCCATTGAATTTTTATTTTTAGTCATATTTCTTACTCCAAAAAATTTTTGATTTTGTTTCTTATTTACTCTTTTTCTTCTGTGTCTTATTTGTTTGTATTTTGAATTTTAAATGTTTTAAAACTTGATTTGTATGCTGCACCCAATCCTTCCACTCCCTGGAAACCCTGCAGGCTGGTGCCTGGTTCTCGAGCCCGTGATGGATCCTCTGGGGAGCACTGGGTGGAGAGGCAGCACAGGTTAGGGGTTCAGAGAGCAGACTGGGACCAGACTTCCTGGGTCTGAAACTCACCTCTTTTCATTTTCTGTGAGTTCTTGAGGAAGTTTCTTTTTCTCTTCATGTCTTCATTCTTTCCCATTCTGAATCCAGGGATAGGAATGATACTAACTTCAATAATAATGAGAATAAGAATACCTATCATTATTGGGTATGGTGCACATGTCTATAATCCCAGCAGCTTGAGAGGCTGAGACAGGAGGATTGCAAGTTTAAGGCCAGCCAACCGAGAGACACGCTAAGCAACTTAGTGAGGCCTTGTTTCAAAACAAAACACAAAAAGGGCTGGGGATGTAGCTCAGTGGTAAAGTGCCCCTAACTTAAATTTCCAGTAGCCAAAACAACAAACAAACAAACAAAAACCTACCATTAAGAGAATGTTGTATCAAGTGGGACAGTACCTGTAAAGGATTTAAAATGGAATTTGGTGTCTGTCAATCCTTAATAAGGCTGATCTTTTATTGACTTGGTTTCTCCCAACCCTGCTTAAAATTGGTCAGTCAGTACATGGGATTGAACCCTGGCTACATCCCCAACCCTTTTTATTTTTTATTTTGAGACAGGGTCTTGCTAAGTTGATGAGGCTGGCCTCAAATTTACYATCCTCCTGCCTCAGGCTCCTGAGTCACTGGGATTACAGGTGTGTGCCACCGGGCCAGCAACATGACTAGACTTTTTTTTGGAAATCCTATATATCTTGGATTGAGAATATGTTGCTTGTAAGAGAATTTACATTTGCTTTTGCCAAGAACCTGGGAGACTATGAACCTAAGACCACTAATTTCTTGTCTTTGGTTTCCCAAACCATATAGTTGGTGTCTATTCAACTCCAAACTCAACCAATGCGGGTGTGTGGTGTGGATTCTCTGGGGAGACTCTCGTTCTCGTTTAGAACCTAGGAGTTGAGGACAAGCATCCCCTATCTTCTCTTTTTGTTACTTTTTTGTCTTGCACAATCCTACCACTGAGGGTATGGCCTCTGTATCAGTCTGTTTTCCACTGCTATAATTAAATACTCGAGGCTGGGTATTTTATTGATAAAAGCGGTTAATTTGGCTTTAAACATTTTGGAGGTTCAAAGTCTGAACATCAGGGTGCTAGGTCTTGTTAGGACCCGGCTGGCTGTATCACATCATGGTCGATGGCTTCCTGGTAGGAATGTGTGCGAGAGGAGAGATCACACGGCAAGACAGAGAGCCAGAGACCAGGCAGGGCCAGGCTGGCTTTTTTTTTTTTTTTAAGATGGCGTGCTGCTATGTTTCCCAGGTGGGTCCTGATGTCCTGGGCCCAGCTGATCCTCCTGCCTCAACCACAGGTGCTCACCACCATGTCCAGCTCTGGCTGACTCTTTTATAGCAACCCTCTCATGAGAACTAAGTAGACCATGGAAGGGTCTTTTAATCTGTCTGAAGGCAGTGTCCCCATGACCAAGTGGCCACCTACTAAGGTCTACCTCTTAAAGATCTCCCCAGCTCTTCACAGGGCCACACTGGGGACCAAGCTCCAGGGGAAAAGTCTCCCCTGAACCACGGCAGCCCCCAGGGTCCTGCACGGGTAGGGAGTCTGGTTTCTAAGGCTCTCCCTGTATGACCCCAGGTCTTGTGTCTCGTTGGTGCATGGAAGGACACTAAGCTTCTTTGCTCCTGAGCCTGGCAAGTGTCCCCACAGGGCAGCAACTTGAGTTTCAGCTCCCCCTTGCTCGGCCCTGGGCCGTCTCGCTGATCCCCTGCTCAGCTGTGCCGTTAACAGGGATCACGGTTTATTACRCAGCATTTTTAGGTGATCTCTGGCAACAGGATTTTCAGATTATTAGAAATGAAGCRTCCAGATGGGTGTTCTGACCTACTCCAACCCACACATCTTGACAGAACAGGCCCCAGGCCCCTTCTCCTGTACCGTGCTGAAACCCGGGGCACAAGCACGCTCCATCAGGCCTTTTGAAATGCCAGGTCTACTCTCAGGCCCCTCCAGCATCTCCGTGGGCCCGAGGATTCTTGGGGACTTCGACTGGGCAGTTTGATTTGGAGCTGGCTTTGCAGGTGACATCAGCCTCCTCTACGGTCACATCCAGAACATCAGTTGCTGGCTATGGAGTCTTCTGTTCTTCCCTCTCCTTCCTCTCCCTCCTCCCACTCCTCCTCCTTTTGTTTATGCAAAGAATTGTGAAAAGATGAGAACCATTTTATTGCTAAGATGAAGACAGGTTGTCACCCCAATAGCTCGTCCCAGTGAGATTTGGTCAGTCCTTGGTGACCAGACCCGTCCCAGAAATCAGTGTTTTCATTTCCCCATTAATCATTTAAATATTATTCCAACTGGAATTTTGCTTAAAATGGGCCAGTCTTGTTGGTTTGCTTCTAGAATTCCCACGCTTGGAACTTGGGGTGGTCGTTCCTGTCTGCAGACCACGGGCCTCTTTCTGGTTCCCTGGACCCCCTGGTCCTGCACTGGCCTGGCTGGGAGGTGCTCAAGCTCCTTCACTTGCCTGCTCCTGAGCCGTCCAGTTCCGAAAGTGTCAATAGTGAGAGTGTCCAGGAAGTGCTTGCCCCTCTTTCTTAGGAGATTGCAATTTCCATGATATGAAAAATCCACTGATGAAATCTGCAGATTAAAGCTGCAGTGGTATCAGTGGAGCAGGTGGATCAGCTGGTGAAGGCTGAGGATTCAGCTCGTCRGAACACCAAGCCCTCCCAGTGGAGCAAGTAGGTCCAGCCCAAGCCTCCCAACCAGGAAAGGGGAGGCCGAGGGTCCTGGGAGTGGTTTACCCYTTCCTTTCACGGGCCACAGGCTAGACGCTCAAATCCCACAGCCACCCAAAGTATCAGGCATTGTAGTGCTGCCTGGGTAGGGACAGTGACAGCCGCTTCTAACAAGTTTTGTAACCTGTACAAGACAGTTATTCATTTGATAGTTATCAATCTTTTTAAAAGCATCTTATCTCATTTTTACTCCTTGCTATATGCAAAGTGCCCTGTCTGGTCCCGTTTTGTCACATGTAAAGCGAGGAGAAGGGTTGSGCTAAATGGCACCTTTTCTCCCTGAGTTACAGTGAGGCCAGCTTTCAAGATGGGAAATAACCAGGACTGGGCACAGAGGGGCTCGGTCGGCAGGAGGCCTGACTTGTCCTCATGCAGGGGCTCTGTGGAGACGGGTGGGGCTCCTTACCTATCTCCCTGAGGCAGTAACATCGGGTTCACAGAAGGCACAACACGATCTGGGCTTAAGCTAAATGGCAGAGGTGGGAGTAGAGGCTTCAAGTTCAAGTTGGAGGTGCTGAGGAGAAAAGTGCCACACACTTCATGGGGAATGGCCTCCGGGTCCCATCCACGGTTCAAGCCAAACTACAAGAAGGYATCAGGGAGGCCAGCCAGCGTGGCCACAGTCCCTGGACCAGGGCCCTCGTTCAGATGCATTTCCACGTTAGGAGTCTGGGGAAGATCTGACTGGATCCGAGACACATTTTAAACCACGTGCCAACGTTTTGGACCATGGTGTGGGTGTGATGAGAGGCTGCCCCACAGCTTGTGTTGATTTCCAGTCTGGAGCCCACATGTGTGCCCTTCCTTCTGGACTTCYGCCACCCTCCTGTGGGTAGCCACCCTGCTGCATGAATCACCGCAATCCATGGCTCTGTCGTCATGCCCTTGTGAGCTGTGTTTGGTTTCTATCCTGCAGGGACCACGAAGCCAGTGATATCACCACTGTTCTCTCCCTGTTGAGACTTGTGCCCACTTTTGTTTTGGTATGAAAGTTACATTTCAATATTGGGTGCAATCCAGTGTAACCTGAGTCYATTTTCTTAGAATATATAATGGTGAAATGGCCTTCCAAAGGTTTGCTCAAAATAGGGAATGCTTCTCGAATTTGCGGGTCACCCTTGCACAGGGCCATGGTAATCTTCGCTTTATGGTTCCGATTTTAGTGTCTGTGCTGCCGAGTGAGCAAGCACTCCTGCCCACTCTTCCGACTGTGAAGGTGCCCGTGGTGATGCTTTGCCAGGACAGGAAGCCCCTCCCAGCGCAGTGTGGCTGCTGATTTGTGAACTGGGAAGGCCACCTTTGTCCTTTCCCTCTGCAGTGCTCCCTCAGCCTTCGGAGGAGCCCATAAAATTGTCACAAATGCACAGCAAGATTCTGGCAAAGCAGAGACTGTAACACAAAAATATTTCTTTTAATATTTTAGCTGGGAATTCGGGCAGCTGTGAGAGGCAGATGCCAAACTCCGCGCCGAGTGACTGACAATCTGCAGCGCGTTGCCTTCGTCCCGGGGAAAGCTGCCCGTGGGGATGTGTTTGCAGACGGGGGCGAGGCTCGCGGTGTCTCTGAGGCAGGGGTCCTTCTGGGCTTGTGGTGGTGGCTTCAGTGGCTGGGAGGGACACAGGGCTGCCAGGCCTCTGCGGAGCCGGGCTGTTCTGTGCCGTGGGAGCGCTGCACCCTGGTCCTGGTCTCTGTCCCCCGAGGCATGTTCATCCCTCTCCGCACAGCGCCTTGGCCTCCTCGGCCCTCTGTCCCCAGTGCCCCTCCGCCATGGACTGAGCTCAGCCCCGCCCCTCGGTGTTGGGCGTGGACCTTCCTGGTGGCCTCTGCCCTCTCCGCCTGCTGCGGTCCCACRGGTGGGAACTGAGTCCCCAGCTGACAGTGCTGAGGGGGGCCCTCAGGAGGCCCCAGGGGATGGGGGCTCGGGCCTCAGGAGGGGTCAGTGGTCACAGTGAGAGCTGTGTTCTCCGAGGGATCTCGGCTTTCTCTTCTGTTGCCCCGCGAGGCCCGGGGCCCTGCTACCGCTCAGCTCCAGAGTCTCCATTTGGGCCTTCCCAGAACGTGGCSGCCAACTTCTCTTTGAGTTTCCCGGGCTGTGCTGTCTGTCACAGCAGCAGAAGACAGACCSAGGCGCCCCCCAGCCACACAGCGTTGTCACTCCAGATGCCAGGAGTGTCTACGTGTCCTCTCCCCTCAGGGTCTCTGGGGAGCCTTCCTGTGCCCCCTTCCCTTCTGGGTTTGAGTCCCTTTCCCTGGACTCCCCCTGAAGCCCCCGCTTCCTCTCCCACACCTGTCACTATAGACACTTGCTCACCCGCCTTTCTCCTTSGCTGTGTTTGGGCTCCTTGAAGGCAGGAACCCGACCCCCACGTGCCCTTGGCACCTAGCATGACGCACAGCAGAGGCCCAACAAGTGGCTCTTGCATGAAGAAATGGACAGACAATGGATACCAGCCAAGGGCTGGCCAGACCAGGGTTGCAGACCGGCAGCGTCACCTGACGGGGAGGGTGTGACCGCAGGAGGGGGTTCTGTCTGCTGCTGAATGGAATCCAGGTGCCTACTCAGGGCAGTTTCTGGAACTTTCTGGAGTGTGCGCCCTCACTCYGGAGGCTGAAGGGAGGCTCTGACCTGGAGGCCTTATGTGTGTGCTCTTAGATTTCCAGTGACCTGCCTGCATGGCCTGGGTCCCCACCAAGGGTGAGTTAATGATGCAGCCCTGGTCCCCAGGGAAGTCGCTTGGAGAGAGAGTGATGTTGGGAGTTGTTTGGTGGTGGGTGGAGAGCCGTTCTGCTGGAGGGGAGCGGGAAAGCCAGTGGACGGGGTGGAGAGCCCTGTCCTTCCAGGACTGGACAGCCCCTCCAGTGACATGCTCAGCCTTCACACCTGTGTCGGCCTCATGGGGTGTAGGCTGCCCTGGGAAGGGACAGTATTATGGGTCAAATTGTATCCCCCAAGAAGACGTATTCATGTCCTGACCCAGAACCTGTGAATGTGGAGGGGCTCTGCAGAGGTCAGCACTGGAGCTATCTCGCGCAGTTGGTGACCGTTTTCAAGGGCAGTGACTGGCCGTGAGTTTGGGATGGCAGATGGGGTCTTCCCATGTGCACTCTCTGAACCGGGCACCTCAAGCTCATTCGTTTTATTCTTGGTTTCTTTAAATGAGGTAGATGAGACCCAGGAATCAGACTGGTATGCCGGAAGGGACGAGGTCTTCACTGAATTGAGAGCCTGGCCATGGATGACCATGGGGTCATCATAGGACCCCATGGGGGCATCCGCTGGAACTCCAAGTTCTAAGTCAAGCAGTGGGTGACAGGCGCAGTGAGTGAGGTGGCCCCTGCCCCAGCTGCCCTCCCCAGGCTCTGGATACGCCTGGTCCCTCCTGGAGTTGGGGCAGYGGAGTCTCCCCCTGGGAACACCTAAAAGGCTGCCTGCTCCTGCCCTCCCCAGGGCTGCCTGGCCTCAGGCACTGGTGGCTGTGCTCAGGAGGCCCCGAGGCTGCGCAGTGCGGCTGCGCTCACCTCTGGCTGGTCTCCAGGGCCCGTGACTGACTGCTCACCGGTCTCCTCCCTGTGCCTCTGGGCCGTGGCAGGACTCTTCTTGCACACAGTGGGGAGGCAGAGGCCTCTATCCTCACCAGTGGCAGCACTAGTCCCCTCCACACAGCTCAGCATGGGCCAACAGCCTGGGGGACAGCAGACCACCCGGGTCCCTCCCCATGAGGGTGCAGGACAGGTGTGCGGTGGCCCTCCTTTGCCCAGGTTCCTTCAGCGTCTGTCTCACAGACATGTCCCAGGACTCTGCCCCGCAGCCTTGCTTCTAGGGGGGAGCAGAGCTGAGAGCTTTAGAGAGAATCTTCTCTGGCCTTCCTTCGAGCCTCAGCAGACTCCCCTCTGGAGTGGGGTTCTTCATGTCCGTGGAGCCTCTGTGACTGGCTTGAGGCCACCGACTTCCACGTGGCGCCCGATGGCAAGTGGGAGGAGGCCTCTGTCCCTCCTGAGGTTGCTTCAGTGCCATGCTCCACAAGGCTGGCATCAAGACCTCCTCTCCCTGCCCCCTCCTCTCCCTGCCCCCTCCTCTCCCTGCCCCCTCTGGGTGGAGTGGCTGGCCTCCAGGTGTGAGGCTGGCCTCCCTTGGGTGGGCCAGGCTGCCAGGGGCCAAGGTCCATCTCATCCTGCACCAGTGGCCTGGGTTTGTGGCAGAATTCGTGTCTGCAGTCGGTGGAGCTCGCCACCCTCCCTGGCAGATGACCTGGGGCCCTGCAGGTGCCCTGGGTCTGACTGGACGTCCATTGGTCTTGGGTTTGGGGTCACTTCACCTTCACTGAAGTGGCTTATTCTAACTCCCCACGCCAGGCTTTCRATTGACCCCGACTATCACTAAACCCAGGGGTCCCCTCTGTGTCCTGTGAGGCCAAGCAGGGGTCACAGAGCCCCCACTTTTCTGACTATTTTGGCCCAGGAGGGGGTGGGGTGGGGTCCCAGGATTGTGGGATAGGGTTCCCTGGGTTGGGGTGGACAGCAGAGCAGGTGGCCTCCTCTGGGAGTCCCCAGTAGGGTCAGGGTGGGGGTCTGCTCTCCAGAGCAGGTGGCCTCCTCTGGGAGTCCCCAGTAGGGTCAGGGTGGGGGTCTGCTCTC